GCTGCACTGTCTTGGAATAAAGAAACCAAAACAAGTGCCATGTCATAAAGACATCTGTGGAATTAAAATTGTTTTACACTTCCCTATAAGAACATAAACCCCTTGAGGCAGTCTTTCATCTTTGATGACAGTGAGTCTAAGAGTGAGTCCCTCCCGGCTGGGCGCGGTGGCTCAGGCCTGTAATCCCAACACTTTGGGAGGCCGAGACGGGTGGATAACGAGGTCAGGAGATCAAGACCATCCTGGCTAAAACGGTGAAACCTCGTCTCTACTAAAAACACAAAAAAAATTAGCCAGGCGGGGTGGCAGGTGCCTGTAGTCCCAGCTACTCGGGAGGCTGAGGCAGGAGAATGGCGTGAACCTGGGAGGTGGAGTTTGCAGTGAGCCGAGATCGTGCCACTGCACTCCAGCCTGGGAGACAGAGCAAGACTCCGTCTCAAAAAAAAAAGTGAGTGCCTCCCTTCTTGCCACTATCTCTTCTCATCTTCCCCATAGTACTCCCTCATAAGCACATATCTTCACGATGAAACCTCTTATACATATAACACAACCTCTCATAGCCCATAGTTTCCTTCTTAAGGGTTTGTAAGGATTCCTTAGTAAAATCACACAGAATTTCTCGTTTGCTTAGGGTTTAATACATTAAGGTAGACCTTAGAATAGATCATTTTTGTAACAGTCAGACAGGAGTTCAGAAATCCCTCTCCATCTTCCATCCTTCTCCTTAACAATATGTATTAATTAGTACCTTTTTTTTTTTTTGAGACAGAGTCTTGCTCTGTCGCCCAGGCTGGAGTGCAGTGGCGTGATCTCGGCTCACTGCAACCTCCACCTCCTGGGTTCAAGCAATTCTCTGCCTCAGCCTCCTGAGTAGCTGGAATTACAAGCACCCACCACCACACGTGGCTAATTTTTTGTATTTTCAGTAGAGATGGGGTTTCACCATCTTGGTCAGGCTGGTCTTGAACTCCTGACTGCGTGATCCACCCGACTCAGCCTCCCAAATTGCTGGGATTACAGGCGAGAGTCACCGCGCCCGGCAATCAGTACCTTAATGAGAAAGGGGAGACCACAGAGAACTCTGTTTCGTTTCTTCTTGCAACAGGAGAAAGAGAAGAAAAAGCAAAACAGAAAGGAGGATAGTCAGCAGGTTGCTAAGGAATAGAGGCCAAGACATTCAGCTAGTTACCAATCCTCTGTAACATGGTACTGAGCCCTGAGGAGCCACAGTTTTGAATTTTCCGATGATGACAAGAACTGTACAAAATTATAGCACTTTTAAAGAGGCCTACAATAAAATGGAATTTGAAAAAAAAAGCAATCTTAACTCGACTTCAAATCATCGTCTTAAATAACTATGAAACCCTTTGTTTAACTGACCTGCATAAACAGCAGCTGACTGTTGCAAAGATTGAATCTGTCCACGATTGCATCCATATTTCTGATTAATTTCCCTTAAGGGAACTTCACTGATTAAATCTAATAGCACAAGACTGGTGAAAAACCTGGGAATAAATCATCAAAAGCATGGTAAGAAATCATTCACGTCTACTAGGAGATACAATGTATGTTGCAAAATGACTAAGAACTGGAAAGGCAACAGAGGACTTATATAATACATTCTGGTAAGATTCTTAATAGAAAATAGGGTTACTGGCCGGGCGCAGTGGCTCAAGCCTGTAATCCCAGCACTTTGGGAGGCCTAGGCGGGTGGATCACGAGGTCAGGAGATCAAGACCATCCTGACTAACACAGTGAAACCCCGTCTCTACTAAAAATACAAAAAATTAGCTGGGCATGGTGGCACATGCCTGTAGTCCCAGCTATTCAGGGGGCTGAGGCAGGAGAATCGCTTGAATCCAGGAGGCAGAAGTTGCAGTGAGCCAAGATTGTGCCACTGCACTCCAGCCTGGGCAACAGAGTGAGACTACATCTCAAAAA